CCCCAAAAATTGCTCCTACCCCGATAGATCCCAATTTCCAATCCAATTTAATTTAATTCATCCCCGTGATGTATTCCACGAATAATAAAAGAAAAAGGGATATATAAAGGAAAGACTAGAATGATGGATATTGATATGAAAATATTTATCATTTCCGTGGAAATGCATATTTACCGTCCCGGCTTAGTTCCACCGTCGAGATATCTCGAAAGGGGGGTTATAATATATATAATAAGCTTCAATTGAGGGCACGGCTCGAGGAAGGAGCCTTCACTTCGCGAAACTTATCGATACGTCCACCGTTGACGGAAGTAACCCCCTGAATCTAAAGAGAGAGGGTGGTTGCGGAGAGAGGGGAAGCAAACTTTAAGCCGGAAGAGAGGCTTTCCCCTCATTTCGGTGCATCAAAGCCATCGAGACTTTCTCAGATTCTTTCGAGTCTCTTTCCCCCGACCTCCCCCGCGCCTCTCGTCCGCCCACAATGCAGCCGAAGTTGAAAAGTTCAACGAACACTTCTGCCCCACCAAAGTGCGGTATTCGAATCGATTTGAAGGGGGTTTCACTTCACCTTAACGAACATACAATTAGAAATAACAAGTGAAACGTTCCGTGGACGCGGAAAACCCGCGCGGCGGGAATTTCCCACTAACCACATTGTCGCGAATACCCGGGGCGGCATTTAAATGGGAACACCAGAGAGGAAGAAGCCCGATTTTCCCGCGAATCTAGCTCGATGAAATATTAGTGGCCGCGTGCTTGGGAAGATGAAACATGCGACGTGCCGTGGGGAACACAAGTCTCGGAATACACCGCAAATAAACGCACGCCATTTAAACGAAAAGACTGCACGGTCGCGACAACATCCCATGAGCACGCATCGTTTTATATTCTCTCTCTCTCTCTCGGAAAGGTACCGAAGAAAAATCCCCGAGACCAGGGTCGATCGAAACGAGGATATGTTTAAAGAAAATTAAAAAAAATAAATAAATAAATAAATAAATAAAGAATCGCTGATTTTCATTACTAAACCTTTACCTCTCTCTGTCGAGATCGATCGCCCGCGAAGAGTGCGTAGGAAATTTATTTATTTATCCTACGGGTAATTGGCACCCCGGGTGTTGCCGGTATTATTTCACCGAGCCCGAGAAGTAAAAGGACGCGCGTTCTTCGGGGCGAATTCCACCCGGTAGTTTAGAAGGCATTGCGGAGGAATTGGTGCACGTACGGGAACTCATTGTCGAGGGGCCTCTTCCCAATTTGCATGCACTTTGCGCACGGGAGACGAGACAGGAGCGCATTCGAAAGCAGGAGGAGAAGACGCGGCGACTCCACGGTCGGGGGGGGAAAAAAAAAGAAAAAAAAAAGAAACATCGACCCTCGAGGGCAACAATGGCTATAATTATCGCGCGAGCAAAACAAGGAAATACTCTCTCCCGCGGAAGGAACAACGATGCCCGGAGTGGAACAATGGGTATAATTATTATATTGCATTCAATTGCAGGGGGAAGTGTCCCGCAACTACCAGGTGAGTTATCCGGCGATAACGCGCGGCCCGCGTTATCTAACGGTAAGGAACCGTAATTATCGTATACCGATAACCGGCCGTATCGTATTGTTTATAGCACGGACTGAAAGGATCGCGATGCCGATAGTAATCGGCATAGCACGCCATGATTACGACGCCCGTGACATATACTTGGGGTACTTTTTTTTTTTTTCACCGGGAGGATTAATTACCCCCCGCGCAGCCGCACTGAGCCGTACTTGATCCCGACGTCCTTATCCATTTAATTGTGAAATCGGTACTACGATTTAATCCGAGCACATCCGAGTGAAAGAAATTACATATCGAATTGACGAAGCACTTCTTCGTTACCATTCAATGAAACGTCTCTTAGGTTCGATGAAATTCATTTTTCTTTTTTTTTTTCCGCGGTCCCTCCATACGTATTTTCCCGACTACGTGTACTCGCGTGAGTAAACTTCCGGGCACGAGGTATAATTCGCCCCCTCTTACATGTTATCAGCCGTGGAGTGAACTTTTTTCCTCGCTTTTCGTCTATGCGTACCACGTGTCAGTACGCACCGTCTCTCTCGTCCGGTACAGGCGCCCACGCCGCGCCGATTAACTCCTCTTCGCGTCAGAGGCTCGGGTATATTTTTATTAGGCGGCCTCATAGCCGCGCACGCGCCCTCGAGGACATTTTCCTCGTAAACAAACGCCGACCAGGACAGGACGCGGCGCAACGAGGCCATGGGAATTGGAGCACCGACGTTACGTGCGCGTACGCGAGTGCGTGCCCCCTTGCGCCCTCGGCTGGTCACGCGCTCGCTCGCACGGCGGCATGCGCGTGCGCGGGGAGAAAAACGTGGCGGAGAGGAAAATCCCGCGGGGAGGAAAACACGTGGGAAGGAAAACGCGCCAGGAATCGCGAGAAATGGACTCGTGCAGCCCATCGTGGAAATCCGACACGGCCCATCTTTTCCCGGGTATATAGGCACTTGGCGCGACACTCTACCGCCGCGGCGTGTACTTGGCAGATAGCTCGTTCTACTAGAAGCTCCCGAAAACCTGATTCTCATCGACATTTCAGTGGGTTTATTTCTAAAAAACACACACGGTGCCGCTCATACTAAAATTCGACGGTGTAACCCTTTACCGTGCACTGAGACAAAGGATTAGTAAATTGATACACGACTGCAAGAAACGATTATCTCTTAGAGGAAGATTTCACGTTCTTGATTGATAGGAATTTTCTTCACTCAGTCTGACGTTTCTTCGGGGGTATTTGAATCGCAGGATTTTGTCGACGCGCATCACGTCGGGTTAATTGAATTTTTTTTATTGAATTTTTCTTTCCCCTCAGCGTGTAAAAACCGAACGTGTAAAGCAGAGCTACACCATTGCTCTCGGCGAAGGGATTAGAGTCGAGGAACACGGGGCACGGAATTGGGACAAAGATCGCAAACCCGTAGTTAGACCTGGATAATAGATAATAACCGGGTGACCCTACAAATTAGGGGTATATGGCATGCGCTTCTTCGGCGGATCCGCGATATGGATCCAGACATTAATCGGAGAAGAAACCTCTAAATATAGACGCGGGCAACAAAATGTCCAGGGCAAAAGGTGCTTAACTACGAACAATGACCTGACATACTTTTCGCGTGTTCTTTACCGAGTCATAAAATGCATTGGCTGGCATTTACCGTTCCCTTACATCCTTATTTTCGAGAAGACAAGTAAGGAGCCCCGTAAATCAAATCGCGGAAAGTATCCGTACAACGAGACACCTTGTTTTAAATATAGACACGGACACGGATGCGCAAAACCGCCATGGTATTTAGCCGCGTTTGCATGTGAGCAGTGAAAAATCACCGAAAGGAAATCTGCATATCCGAAAGGCTGCGCGTGAGCTTAATAAAAGGATCGCAAGGCACTACCGCGAAAAACCCTCCCGAGGTATCTCGAGGAAAGAACGAAAAAAGAAAAAAAAAAGAAATTAATAAAAATACGCACACATTGTACTTAATCTGCCCGTCAAGGTACCGCGTCTACAATTTACCTCGCACGGTAATCCGTTTTAAGTACACCGGTAATTTCGTGACATTACCAGGGAACCAGGTTTCGTGACCACTGTAATACGAGGTGGCCAATTTTCTTTTTCTTTTTACGAAACCGTGCAGAATGCACCGATTCGTTTCCCTGCGTAAAACAAATAATTATATATGTATAAAAAAAAAAAGTTGAACCACAGTGCCTCATATGCTGTTTCGATCAGCATTGGTTTAAAAGGAAAAAAGTTGAAAATGGTCATTTTACCGATTTTGAGGCTACGGGAGGTTTTGCAATTTTTTTTTTTTTGACTATCAAGGACCATCATATCGATTAAAAAAAATTACGAGGGCATTTCGATGGAAGATCGGTTAAAAATAAAAAAATATATATATATAGATATATGCAGATTCGGACAACGTAAAAGAAACGCAGTAACGATAACGCCGCGCGGCGCTTAGATAGCGTTACTCTCGCATCCTCGATTTCAAAGTCACATGACAAACGCGGCCGCGATAAACCACCGAATACGAAGCATAACTAGCGCGCAATGCCATTGGATTTAGTGGCGTCCCGACGCCTGACAGGCCTCTCCCGGTAAATTCATACATGTCGCATGCCGAGTATCGATCACCGGGATTTAAAGCGCCGCGGCATCGATCTCCAGTTATTAATAACTTTCCCGCGAGATCCCCCGTTTAGTTTAGTTTCTCGGTTAACTCCACTCCTCGGGGCCTCCGAAGACCCCGGACACAAGACGAGCTAAAAGGAACCGATGAAATCAAGAAACGCGTCTCTACTCCCCGCGCCACGTGACTTTGACGTCACGCGTCCTAACGTCGACCATATCTTTCATTTTTATTCACGCTTTTCCGGGGATTCTAGTAACGGCATAGTATATATCGCCTCGCCGCTCCTCCAGGAAATCCCTTCCTAAGCTCTGAAAATTTATCCCCCTGATAAATTAGAAACGTCCAAGCACTCGGTGCCACGTGGTTAAGGTGACGCGAAAGTGGCATCGGAGATGGTCTCGTTTACGGAACCTTTTTCTTCCCGAACAGGGGTCAAACCTTACAACGTGAATAGGAAGACATTAAGAGAGATCCTGACGGCCCGCGAGATTTCAATTTTTCTCTCTTTTTTTTTTTAAATTTGTTCATTAAGACTTTCAGGTGTCGGGACCTTCCCTTAACAGCCCTCGCATTCACTATCGCGTTCAAGATATCGCGTTGATACCTGACAATTTCGCGTGGCTAATATACTTCTTTCCGGTGCGAGACAAAAAAAAATTGGGTTACAGCGGCCCACGGAACTATACGGCAAAGATAAGACGAGTCATGCGTAAACGAGTCGCCCAACGCGGCCTCGTGGTCTGGTTCTTGCGGTATAATTACTCCTAATTGCCGTTAATGCGAGAGATAAAAGGGGGGTAAAAATAGGTTACCTGAGCTCTCGATAGCACCAGCTTAACATAAACGCAGGAACGCCGGTCTCATCCTTCCACGTGCCGCGTCGCTAGTCCAAGCCGAGCCAGTTTTCCTCGTTCGCCCTGTCACGCTACAAAAACAAACGGCACCTTGACGTCGACAATGTACACACACACACACACGTGTCACAGCCGACCATCCGTCCCGGAAGGGTGCCCCGAGCGAACTGAGCTTACCGACGAAAGCAGGAATTTCAAGAGGCCTAATTTTTCCCCCACTCCTCCCAAGCGTCCCCCTCCCCCGCGCGAATCGAGGACGACAATTTGCGCCAATCGGGAGGAACCTCTTCTACGCTAAATATTATGGTGATCCGAAGAAGGGAGGGGGGGCAATCGAACGCGGGGAACACCCGGGTAAAAAGTTGCGATAACAGCGAGGCAACCCGACACTCTTTCACTGAAATGGATTGAAAGAATAAAAGGAAAGGGGGGAAAAAGTGGGAAACACAGATAAAGGGTTTAACCTCTAAACCATCTCCCTCGTATTAACTCCGCGACGCGATAGCGAATTACTCCGCGGGTAAGTGACGCAGAATATAGAAACGCATCCCCTGAAATTCTCCGGTAGATTGCAAAAGTTCCCGAAGAGGTGCGCGTCGTCCTCGGCGTCACACCCAACCGCGACACGTTTACGATATTTCCGGGAATTTCCAGTGTCGCGTCCACCCCGTCCTTCCCCACAGCACGGGGTGAAATGCGCGTCCGGCGTCGAGATTCCGCGATGGCGTCGGTCGCGTTAACGGGTCCGGCCCGAAGGAAAAGAATCAGCTCGGCATATCATAGCGACCACCGTTTATTCAATCCACGTTCCCGCACCGCGTCCGGGTACGGTAGTTCGACGTAGCCTCCCGTAGTCGTCCGGGTAAACAAGATTTACGCGATCGCCCGGTGTATAATAAACCACGAGGTGGAGCAGGACAGAAGGAAATGACGCGTAATTCTCGAGGCTTAGAGGGGAGCCCCGCGCGGAGACGACGGAGGGAGAAAAGGGAGGGCGAGAGAGGGACGGACATACGGCGAGGGGGCGCGCCAGAAAGAGAGAGGGAGAAGGAGAGAAGGACGAAAGGAGCGGGCCGAGACGCAGAAGGAAACGTCGCTTAGAAGAGGGTACCCGCGACAGACGGGGGTTGGCGGGGTGAATACGGGGTCGAGAGTGCGCAAAAGGAGCACCCCGTCCCCCCGGCGTCTGCGAAGTGGCCGTATCCTCGCTGCCGGGGGTTCGGCCTCTCCCGTGGCGCGTCGTCCAAGGGCTCGCCGACCTCCCGAGGCCTAGGCGGGATCTGCATTACCGACGCGCGCCGCGCCGGGAGCACCGGGCCGTCTCGCGGTGTCATTTGAAATTCAACCGATACTCGGCGAACCGTTGAGCGAGAGAAGGGGGGGAAAGGAGCGAGGCGTGCGTGCGCGGCTCGGAACGTACGCTCGCGAGGAGAAAAAGCGACGGAGGGGAAGATGAAGGGGGGACGCACTTTCCACCTGAGGGAAACGCACGGGTGTCGATAAACGTTATCACGTGGTCCCCGGCCATGCTCCGCTCGCGGCTCGAGGTTAGGCGTCGCGCGGAGAGCCGAGCTAACCTCGAAGTCGCGCGACGCCGAGGGCCGGACTCTGCGCGAAAATGGCCGGGGCCGCGGAGGACGCGAGACCCGGCGAGGCCTGCACGCGCGCGAGAGAACCACGAGACGGCGTCGGGAGTCGCGTCGAGTCACCTGCCCCCTTCGTAGGCACTCTCTTTTCTGCGCAATAAGAATTTTTGCGTCGCGCCGCCTCTCCGGCACGCACCCGCGGCGCGGGCCCCTGGGGAGGGGCGGAGCGGCCGCGAGCGCGCGTGCGCGCGCGCTCCCCGGAGTGGGGGGAGACGGAGCGGCCGCGTCCTCGTATTGCGTAGTAAGTGCTTGAATGGATTACGTCATGCGCCAGAGGCAGGCGGGCAGTCGCCGACACACCCGGGGAGAGCACTTGTTTACAACGCCGAGCGCCGCGGCGTTTCCGCGGGGACCGGGCGAGACCAGGACGGGCACCGGGAGGGCCGCGGCCTTCCCCGCCCGCGGGTCGAGGTTAGGTTACGCCATGTTTACGTCGATGTTTACGTTCTCGGCGCGGCCGGGTCGGACCCTTCGGAGGTGGCGGCCGAATACCGAGTCGGGGACACTCCCGACACTTCCCGAGGAGGCGCACCCGCGTTCCCGGGCACGGTGAGCGCGGAGTTTCCCTCCAGGTCGAGCGGACGTCTCGGTCGGCGGCGCGAGATGACGGGGAGATCGATCCGCGCGACCCGAGACGGAGCCGCCGGGAGGGAGGGCGAGAGGGAGAGAGAAAGAGAGAGAGAGAGACGGAGAGCCGGCGCGGCGGAGGGAGGCGGTGGCGGGTGGGTGGGATTTTTGCATGGAGTGCTGGACGGCCCCCGCGTCGTCCCCCACGTGTCGGCCGCTCTCGAGAGCACGGCGTCCTCGACTCGCTCCGTCTCCGTCGCGCCCGCGAGTCCGCCTATGGCGCTCTCTCGCGCTCGCGACTAACCTCTCTTTCCCCGGGTCCGTCCGTCCCTCCTGTCCCCCCGGCGCGGAGTATCGACCTCGGTCCTCTCTTTTCCTCGTCGGCCGCGACCCGGCGCGAGCACGTGGAGCCGGTCGCCGCGACACCCGGAGCGACGCGCGCGCCTCACCTCGGCAGCACTCGGCTCCGGCCGTTCCCGGCGTTCCCGCACACAGGGCAGGAAGCGTCGAAGTTGACCACACGCCATACGAGCGAACACTGCATCACGACGAACGAGTCAGCTGGTACCGATGTTGACTCAAACAGGGGCGTAGGACGAGCGGGGCCCCGGCGCGCGCCGGTTGGCGCGCTCGCGAAGCGTGGGCCGCGTTCTCTCGCGCGCCGACGCGACGCGCCGCGTCGTTGCCCCGGTCCCTCGGGTGCACTCGCCTTTTTTCGCTCTCCCGTCCCCCTCCTCGCTCCCTCTCGCGCTCCCTTCCGCCTACTTGGCCGCGCTCGGCGCATCGCGGCGCCCCTCCCCTCCCCTGCCCCTCCCTCGAGGCCAGACCGCCGTTCCCCTCTCTCGCCCGCATCGGCCAACCGATTCCTCCCGCGCAGGGCCGGCCGGCCTCCCCGGGTCCCCCGTGCCTTCACCCTGGTGCCCACTCGTTCGATGCGTTTCCGTTAAATCCCTAACAGCGAACTGCCATTCGAGCTCACCTAGCTCCCTCGCCTCTCGCCGTTCCTTCTTCCCTCTTTCTCCCTTCTCCCCCCCTCGTCCAACCGATTCCCGACGCGCAGCGCCGCGCCCTCCGAATCGCGGGCCCCGCGCCAAACGCGTCCTCCCCCACTTCTCTCTCTCTCTCTCTCTTTCCCGATCGTTCTCGGATGTTCCTCGGTTTTGCTTCCTCGAAGCCGAAGAATCGACGGCTTCCGGCGATTCCGGGACTCTGACCCCGGGGCCTCGGCCACGTGCGCAGTCCCCGAGCCACGCGTATTTCCTCTCCTTATCTCCGGCTGCGCGGCTAACCTCCTCCCGCGTGCCCCTGTCTCCCTTTGCCGGAATTTGCCGCCCTAGGTCTACCGTACTCGCGCCGTTACGGGCCTTTAATTCCGCGGCGCGACGCCGCACTTTATCATCGCGCCCGCCCGCCTGCCGGTCCCTCCCCCCTACCCCCCTCACTCCCTACCTTCCTAATCGCCCCTCGCGCGCCGCGATCCGCGGCTCGGGCCTCGCCGGCGCGCATTCCTCCGCCCGACAATCCACGCATGCGCTAGCTGCGCGCGCGTCGCGCCCGCTTACCGACCGCGCGCTCCGGCTTACCGACCCCGCGACTCGGACGGTTACGACCCTTCGCGCGCCGCCGGCAGGCAGGATCGTCGTCAATGGCAGGTAATGGACCCTCGAGGAAATTAAACCCTGCGTCCTCGTTCCGACCTGGCCTCGTTATCCTTTTCGACCGTTTCGATGTTACGCAACTTAATTTTAGGACAACTTTGACCCTCTTCGCTGATATTCTCCAGGGACTCGAGAGCCTCCACCGACCTTGGAGGAAGCTTACACCCTGCGATGAGTTTGGGAGTTGCTAGGGGGAATTAATGGGAAGGAGGGACCGTTTGATATGCAGTCTTAAATGCTTTTAATTGGGGCAAGGTGGGCTCTGTGAGGTCCGAATTAAAGATTCTTGCGGAGTGGCGGGAGATTAGAGCGTTTTGGGATATCTATAAAGAAAGGGATATGGCAATGGGTGTCGATGGTCGATCGTTACGCACTCGTAATCTTTGGTGACATGGTGAATGAACGGCTATTTACCTTCCGGGACTGGAATGTTGATACGCGAGATTTATCTGGAATCTTTCTCGATAGAGACCCGTGACGCTCCATTAGCGGCTGAAATCGGCGATCGATCGATATTATATATCGTGATATGTTTGTTTAGCGCCTGATGTGGAGGAACCTGTTTCAGAGGTTGGAGTAAAAATATTTAAAATCGGAGAGATTGGAAGTTAAGCGTCGGTGGGGGTTGATGGGAGGAACAAGGTCGGTTAGAGTCTACCGGGATTTAGGTTTAGGATGAAGCATAAAAATTTCATATTACGCACCTTGGATACATCGTAATTATAACGAGCATTTCTTATACTCCAGTTCCCCCTTCTCCACGTATCCGCCCTCTTGGGTTCAATCGAGGGCGTTTTAGCTCTTATAATTAGACGCGCTTCGTCTCTCAGGTGCTCGTAAACACGCACCGAGGCCACGTGGTCCTCTGTAATTAGGGAAAAACCTTCGGACACGTGAACGAATAATGGCGTGGACGTTTCCGAGAGGCGTTCTTTCCCTCCCGAGGGAGGAAGAGGGTCGATGGCATCGCGTCCTGCCGTGAGTCGCTGACATTCGACAGGTGGGTTTACCCGAGAGACCCGGCGAATTAATTAACCCGTGGGAATCGAAAGATTGCGCAAGATGAACAATGGAAGTAACTCGCGATAGCTGGAATTGACGGTGGCGCGAAAGTACCGTCGAAGAGGCCTCCTTTATGAAACTCATCTCCGAGGTGGGTGCACCGAATCCCTTTAAATCTTACAATATATATATATAGAGGCTGTAGGGAAGGTCCTGACGCCCGTGAAATTTCAATTTTTCTACACAATGAAGTCTTGCGAGTTTCGGGACCTCCTTGTTCGCGCGGCGGGATTTCGAAGAAATTCGGTACACCCAATACGGGGAATACTTTCACGGACGGTGCCACTTTCACGCCCCTTTAAGTACCATTTTATCCCACTTTCTTCCGGATATATATCTACCCTCGACTCCTCTTTAGCTGCGAGGAGTCATTAGAATTACGTCGCCCTGTTTACGGTGACGTATGTCGCCGGGAACACGTGACCCTCGGCAATTGAGCCGGAATTCTGGCGGACACGTGCGCCTCGAATGGCCGCTCCTTTATGAGAGGTGTTGCGAGAGGGAACTCCCTTTGGAGGGAACACGGACGGCGACGTTATTCCCGGGGCTCTACGCGTAAGCCACTGACATTTGGGAAAAGGTCGTTACCCTTTAGGACACGAGGCGAGGCGTGAGTCACGTCACCGGTACAAGGATCCGGGAGAAACGAGAAGCGTCCGGCCGAGGTGGAGCCAGCGCCTCGACGCGGCGCGCGTGACCTAGGTCGGGAAACAAGGCGGACACTCTTCCGGGTAAGGTGGAGACCTTGAGGCTGTAACTGCGCAGCGACGCAATTTCGCAAGTCGGGATATTCACTTGGAAATGGTGTACATCGATTTCCTTCATTGAGAATCCATTGCCTTCGGTCCGAGTGGGTTTTCACTGGGAAATCGAGGACTTCAATGATCGACATCACGGTGGAAATCGGCTGGAAATCCCAAGGAGACATCACTGGAAATCACCGAATCATCGTATGAGATCAAAGGCAATCGGCTCTCGGAGAAGGGAATTCTTTTTCCTGATTTCCAAGTGAATCCCCAACCTCGATGATCCCCAACGATTTTCAGTGATTTCTACTTGTCGATTTCTGACGGCATTAAAATCCATGATTTCCTGAGCGAATAATCCTTAAAAATTAAATGCCAGCGATGCCACTTGGCCTCGAAAATTAAATTCGACTGCCCAAAAAATCGTAACCCCGTATTTTTGACCCGGGGAATTGGGAAATGGGCGGAATTTTACTTTTTGATCATTTTTTTTTTCCCCCCGGAAAGCGAGATTGGGGTTTACGGGAAAGAATTTTTTTCGAGGCGAATTCATGAGTCGCCGGCAAAGCGGGTCAGAAAACAATGGGGTGACACTTCCTGGTGTCGTGTCGGGACCTCGAGCAATAACGCTACGACGCAATTAGACCCCAGAAATTAACCTTCCTAATGGGACCCCGAGGTCTTCAATCGTGAGATTCTAAGAGAGCGATGTAAATGCTTATTTCTAGGTGAAGACGATCCATTAATCGCACTGCTGTATTACTTATAATTGTATTAAATGCTGCTCCTTGCGATGCCTCGGATCATGAAATTCCGTTTTCCTTCATTCGCACGAATTATTATAGATATCTATTTTATAATTGCGTGTCACTTTTCCTTTTTTTGGTGGGTTTTGTCGATCTTCTCTTAACTAATTGAATGGAAGCAGGTCTCGCAAAGGGGCGGTGGAAAGTGAAAGAAATAAGTTAGGGTTTAAGAAGGGAAATAAACCGTCTTATCAGTTCACTTTTTTCCTCAGGTCCATGATCGCTGTCGTTGGCCGGTGGGATAACTTTTTGAGTCCATAGATCAGAGCGATGACAGTCATTAAATAAAAGGCTCCAACGTCTATGCAGTAGTATTGCAGTGTACCCATGTGCCTGTAAATAAATCACGAGGATATCGTCTGGTCTCCAATTTTGCAAGGCTGCACTTCTGATTAAGAAAGACAATCCGAAGTGCTACGTAATAGCAGGTAAATGCATGCCTCGACTTAAAAAAAAAAAATAAACCAAATACAGGGATTGAGAAGTATTTGAAATTTAATGTTATAGAACTGTCAAACCTTGCAGAACTCTTCAGGTGATTGGCTCCGCCGTATTTTGCCACGTGTTCGACCCACCACGTGGCAAGATCCTTAGGTCCAATTGGCAGATCTCTTAGCAGTGCTCTTCTCTTCATGGCATTTTCCTTGTAAGGATTGTCCTGTGTGGCGGCTATTCTCAGAATCGCTTCGCGTAAGTCAGTCATTGTTATTCTGGCGAGGTCCATTATCATCGCGTATCCTTGTTTTTCTGTAACATGGTAATCTTTCAGTTCGACATTCAGAATGACATCAGGCAACGAGTGGAGTAGGCCTTTAGAAAGTGTCGTTTCAACGTGGCATTTCCCCCAATTTTCGGAGCTGGACTCACCAGCTTGGGCCGCATTTCCGTCGTGGTCGCAAAATACGGGAAGCACCAAAGTCGGGGCCCCGTGATAAGCCGCCTCGTGAAGAGATAACAACCCTCCATGGGAGACGAAAGCTCGAAGTTTCGGATGGCCGAGAAGCTCCTGCTGGGGCCACCAACCAGCGGTCCTCACGTTCCCAGGTAAATTCTTAATATAACCACCGTCCCACTTCCAGACAACGTTGAACGGCAATGTCGAGAAAGCGGCAACGAAGGTCTCCCGAAGAGTTTCCGGCATGCCGGAAGCTCTGACCGAAGAGCCCATGGAAACGAAGATAAAGCCTGAAACGAGTCGACTGTGTTCGCTAGTTCGAAACACCGGATCGATCCAGAGAACCAGCCCTGGTGAGGATTTAATAAAAAAGGAGCAGCCTCGTGGGTTCACCTCGTGCCAAGAACAATTCCAAGTCGGAGCTCAGTTGGAGAGCTGGTCTGCAGTGAAGACACGCCACGTTGACAACGTTTGACATGTAGGGCATGGTGTCCGCCACGGAGTAGTGGCTGTTTTGCAACGTCAACGGCACCTCCGATACCAATTCCCTCACGTCTGGGACCTGGGAGCCTGAAAAAGGGATACGCGGGATAAGGTTAATTTTAAAGCAGCCCTCGTTGTCGCGTCACGTATAAGGAGACTCGTTGACAGCTCTTCGCCATGCCAGTAAACGACACCTCAGTTTCTCGCTAATCTGTCAAGTCGGTCCAAAGAGCTTCCCGACATTTTGGCGCGCAAGTACATCGAACGAGAAGCACCAAACATTGTGCCGATGGAGAAACGTGGAGATATTCGGTGAGGCACTTTTACTTTCTTTCGTGATGCTTCTTTGTACGGATGTTGACAATGTACCTAGATATTTCCGCAGGATAGGCTGTACGTAGCCGGTAATCATGATCCAGTGCATGACTTCCAAGGTGGCCAGGTACGCCACGTTGAGGACTCTTTCGAAGAAATTCATGTCTTGAGTTAGGCTTTTGCCGAAATAGGGTGTAATGGACCAAGGAGAAGGATTCCCCTGCCGAGAGATGGATCCGCTGTAGAGTGCCACCTGTTGACATAATCGAATTTGACAACCACAATTGGAATCAACTCGATACGCTGCGTACGGTTGACTTTCTTTTCATCTCTCTATCAAGTCGAACCTGAACGACATACAGTGCCTCAACGGCTTACACTTCTAGGATCGAAAGTACTACATCACATTACACATTCCTCGGCGTCGATGGTGAGAAAATAATTCAACGTCGACCCTCTCTTAAATGCCCAGGTATTTCCCACCCCCGTAAGTTTGAATTCATTCCTCCATAAGTGTTCGCACAAATAATGAAATTCTTTTACCGTATTCAGCATGATCGTAGGGACGTTCTCTCCGTGCAAAATGCCCAACAGACATTCGGCATACGCTCCATCTAAAATGGCTACATCCCAATGTCTTCCGGAGTTACCCTCGGGGTGACGAACATTCGTCAGTGACGTCTCGTCTCGAAGGAGAGTTTCACAAGACTCCCATCCGTATCTCATGGCATCCCAAGGTGAAAGCGGAAGTTCGTTTCGGAAACGGGAGCCCACGAGATCCCACTCGGATGTATAATTTCCAACGTATGCCTATGAAATGATAACATACATTACTGCTCGCACGACATGGTACGTCTTCGGCGAATATGACCTGTTAAGTACAATCAGAAACTTGTCACAAGACTCGAGTGCTACGTAGCTGTTGACTTTAGACAAAACTCTGTTAATGAAGTAACAGAGATGATACTATGGTATATAAGCATCACTTAAATTCCTGATCAATTGTTAAAACTAATTGTTCTTTCGGTAATAGGTGACACTTTCGATACCTCAAGAACAGGAGGAACCAATTCTCGAAGATCGTTGTTAGCTGCTGGTCCAGGAAAGGCACTTAGAAGGGTGACGTTGTGCCCCCTCGACTTAAGGGATGATCCCAGGGCGACGAAAGGAACCGTGTGAGACTTCGTCCCTCCCATTGTCGCCAGAAGGACATTGTAGCCATCCGATATCTCGAGCCATTGGCAGAGAATCAGCAACAACCCTCCGACCATAAATGACATTCTGCCTTTGTCGTCTTATCTTCGCCGTCAAGAGATACTCGGACAATTCCTCGTGAGGTCTTCGGCGATTCTTCGACACGACTGCCTTGCTTGGAAATCCTGCACCTTCTGAGGCTCACTCGTCACCTCGTGAATGACCGAAATTAGGGAACCTTGATGATCTCGCGGTCCTTTCGAACGTGCGTTCGTTCTATTCAGCCATTCGAAAGATCTACCGAAGAGCGCGCATTCTTCACGTGTCCCATTCTCATTCAAAACGGCAATATTCGGTAAGCGAAAATAGTCATAGGGTACAATCCTGATTTATTGACACTCTTTAGATCCTAGAGACACCGAGAAAAGGTACCATTTGACGTTATTTAAGAGTCTGTTGACGTGTCGCCTCGTGCGGCGAAAAACTCCATGTTTACTGCTTCGCTGAAACCAAAGTGATAATTGCTGTTTTAATTGGCATATTTAAATGAAATAATATAAGTGGATCGAACTAAATCTCTTCTGTTTTTTTTTTTCTTTTTTCTTCTATAAAATTTTATATCGGCTCATTTGCATCACCAGTTTTTGCAAGTACAGAAGTCGCGCAACGGGAGTTGTAAGAGTACTTGATAAATGGCGCAGGCAAGTCTACGTCTACGGTAGTTGGAAGATTAAAGAGGACATTAATATGTCGAAAACGTTCCCGAACGTCAAATCGTCGCGTCACCATAGTTTACAGTGAATTACGAAACGTTACATGCACCGTGCCGGGCATATCAATGAGGCGTTTTCGCAGCTCAAAGCAAATGGGATGCAGACCCGCTGAAATACTCTGGAAAAAGTATTTCAGGAGGTATTGCACAAAGTAGCGTAATTGCTGTTTTGCAAAGTAACGTAATTGCTGTAAAGTCCTTCAACGTGTACGATACCATGGTACCTTATAACCATTTATTACTATACTATAACGTAAGTTTACTTTAAATTCCATGGCAAAAATCTTCACAGTTCTCCGATAAATATAAAATGAAGTGATAAAAGTGAGATATGCTTAGAACACAATCGAGAATCTTATTCATCTCCAGCCTCGATGCTTTTCTCAAGAGAAATGTTTTCCTTCGTGAACTACTTACTCCGAAAGGCGGCCACCGAAATCTTGACGGTTCACTTATGTCTTGAACGGCTTTGTGTCCGCCTTATCTTTTTGCCGGTTCGGTCGGGGTAAAAAAATCACCGAACACCGATCTCATTTCTTCTCGTCTCTTCGGCAATGGACCTGCCCTGCTCCGCGAGCTTTCACCAATGACATTCCGAAATACTCCGGACTCTCTTGTGCTCCTTTCAGCATCCCACTCGGTCGAATTTCTACGGATTTGGCGGTTCTTTGATCGTTACTTAGCCACCTTCGAATGAGCCCAACGCAAGTCATCCATGAATCTTCACTTCACTTAGTGCGTTAATTAAAATCAGATGCCCTTTAAACGATCAATTTGTACTTCCTGCAAAAAAGGGCGATAATTAGATCGACTGAATGATTTCATTATCAAGTATGATTAAGCTTAACGCAACAGACTCCGCTAATGTTCACCTCTCCCACGGTAAATGAAACGAAACGCTTCAACGCGTTAATCTATTATTTACTATTCTTAATCCTTTATACTCGAATTTAATACCCGACGTGGTTATTTCAGATTTCCAGGCACTCCCTTAAAGGGCTGTAGATTAACGGCATTACCTTATCGAGAACCCTTTAAGCCGAAGTAATCACCATCCCCTCTGGTTCCAACCCTCCGGCAGGTTTCCTGACATTTTGGCACCTTTTTGACGGATGTCACGCCGCCGGAAAATTTTGTCAATCAGTCGAGTCAATCAAATTCGTATGCGCCGTACCTTGAGGTTGTATCGCTTCCCCGTGCAAAGTACCATTTATCGTAGGACACTACTCGAGTCGGCAATTATACTCTCTTAACCCGGTCTCTTGACATCGGCGGATTCGCTTCTGTGTCAAGTTTGCGATACCCGGCTTGGACACGCGAGAGAGTAGCTCGAATATCGCGGAGCGTGAAAGTTTGACTGACCGGCGTGCTCGAACTCGGTGATCGGCCAAGCTCTTGGGAGAAAAAGAGAGAGAAAGAGAGAGAGAGAGAGTTAGCCTCCCACTAGATCGAGGAAAAGTCTGTTATTGTCTTCTCGGCTTCTAGAATCGCAACTCCTGGAATGCCGTTAAACTCCCAAAAGCTGTTCGAGTATGACTGCCGACCAAGTAGGACGCACTCAAGGAAAGGCGCTTTCACTGTTCCGATTAGCCGATCTTGCTGCATATCGATCCCTTTTCCTCCGCTTATCGGGATTTAAACTCCGGTCAGAAATTACTCGGTCCGCACCCTAATACCCACGGACCAAACCTAATAGGAACGCGAGAGATATTCTTCCCAAGTCGGCGAAAGAAAATCCCAGTTCTGCGCGGCATCGAGAGAAACTCCAATTATGATCTCGATAAGACTCACTTTCTCTGAGATGCTCGATCCCCGGCGGAAAAGGGAATAAGTAAATTCTCCATTTTCACGAGTGCAATTGTGCAATTTCATCTGCGTTCCTATCTGCTGCCTGCGTGCGTATTCTCAGTACTGCTCATATTCACCCGACCACTTACAACAAATGACGTCCTTAACTTCTGTTAATAATATATATATTTTTTTAAACATAGCTTTTGCATATGTTGTTACAGTTCGTTATAAACGTAGTATAAAACAGGTTCGGTACGCGTGGATTAGCCCATGTTATCTTTGTTATCATTTAGTGCAGGATTTTCTTATTGTTTTTGACCCCGTTGAAAAATTTTTACTTGATCATTTATAGAGTACAATGAATTCCCCAGGTTCTCGATGCAACGCAATATCCAGGGGTCCTCGATTGTCTCTACCATGGACCAGTTCTCTTTCACCTTTCACGACTCGGTTGCAAGGCAGATCGTTGGCTTACCGTAGTCGGTAGTTCCACTTTGCCGGAAGGAGCGAAGGATCCCCCTTCGAGCACCTGTCCTCCTCCGATGGGGTCGGCCGATCCGAAGAGGAGGATCGTAAAACTGGGATTTTCCTTTCTTCGTTTACACCCGGCCGGTGGAGCGTGTCACCTGACAGTAGGTCAGCTAAACTACTGGGAAAAGTATCGGGAGATACCCCGCTGGATGGGTGGCACGTTTGAGACATTTTTACGAGGGGGTCTGCCACCTCGGCAGGTTCGAATCTGTGTCAAGATCTTAATAGGGAGAGCGAATTCACTAGAGAAATCTGCCCGACCGGGAGTTTAGTTCCGGGGTCCCCAAATGAAGAAACTCGGCAGAGTCTCGCGCCAAATACATATAGGAACATTTCTTTATTTCTCGCTTGTAGTCTATAACGCCCGCAATGGAACGTTTTTCCTGTCATCAGAGAATCTTCATATGTAATCGCGGTAGAATTACAAGAGGTATCTCCTTGACATGTCCTCCTGAATCCGCTGGTTTGCATTTACCGATTTGCCTTTACGCTAAAAAGAAAAAAGAAACATTGTATCGCGTTGGTATGAAATCCCACCGCAAGTTGTCGGGATAATTCGCAGAGTTCATGAGGTGGATACGTCTCGGAAATCAATTTTTCAGTTGATGCAGGTACTTGAATAACGACGCGGAGTGGTACTTTCGACTCCGTGGATATACACCTACGCATTCGATCGACCCAATTCGTTGGTCGAATTTCGATTGCGGTCGTTTGCACGTACGCATGGAGAGTGTCAATAAGTACATACCGATTATGTGGGGACTATGGCTACATACTTTCCGTCCCATTTTCTCATTATTATTACTGAAAGAAGTAAAACGCAATATCGCATCGATGCGAAATTACCTCTCCACCTACTTTCACCTGATAATAATTGCATTAAATTAATATCCATTCAGCTCGTACGTTATCGTAAGCACTCGAGTGCAGTATCGGCGGCGGACATTCGAGTCTCGTAGCGAGGAACAAGTTTGTACGCCGAGTGCTTCTCGCGACCGCATAATCGGCGAATTGTGCAATTATCGCGAAACCCGGTTCGTCTCCCTGAAGACGACTCTTAAGAGGCCTCCGGGACGTCGCGATAAACATTGGATCTTTGGAACGACACCGGGAGTTTCCGCTCGAACGCTTCGATTCTCGGTGTCAAGGGATCCTTGGGCGCGGAAAAGAGTGCGGAGAAAAAGGAACGACGAGGCCCGTCAATTTTCCTCGTGGTTTCACTTTCGCCATCCCGCGAATCGAGCGCGTGTCGCGAATGCATTAGCTCTCGAACGGCGACCGAGTTCGCGCGATCGTGCAGCTCAAAAAGGACTTGCGAATGCCAATTGACACCCATTCATGCACTTGGAAAATTCGCAACAATAGGGATTGCTGAAATGCGGGATTGCCCCATGTAGAGATCAATTCCAGAATAAGGAAGAAAGGACAGGATCGGCATGAGAAATTGCGATGCTTGAGTGAATCGTGATGCCCACGAGACTTGCGATGCTTGTTGTTAATTCCAAAGAAATTGCGAAAATTGAAAAGTTAATCGGGAATTTGCGATTCTCGACGATGAGGATTGTTTTACAAGATTTCGGATATTTTTAAGGCGAGTTTTATGATTTTGATACTTTCATTACGGAAGGTGCAGTTGGTTCGCTTGACGTCCTCGTTACCGTTTATTATTCGCTGGGCGATCGCTTATAAAAATCGGTGACTGACACCAATCACGAGTAGTGCGGGGTCAATGATTTACTGTCCGTTAAGGTGACGTGAAAGCACTGTTTTAGTGACTGGTTTTAACGAATTCCGGTTTCCCACTACACTTGACAACTGTTGCACAAAACTGTGTGCAGCTTGGCAAGTGAGTTTTATGCAATAGACACGTCACGCGCTGTTTTCGATTAGGGTGTAATGACAGATGAATGGTATTGACGTCGTGACTGAGTTAACTCACAATAAGTAGGATGTACGAGAGAAACATTATACGAGGCATTACAATTTTCAAAGGTACCCATAAATCGGGCGTACCTCAAGAATAAGAATGAACCGTTTTATTTTGGATTCCAGAGGATCGGCATAAAGATTTGAAAAATGGGACGTAATTCATTCGTTCTTTCGAGAGACGCCCGATGAATCGCAATGGAGTGCAAATGCAGTTGCATGCAGATTCAGGATACCGAGAAAAATGTCTAGCCGATTGCCGAAACCAGACGGGAACTGTATCTCATTATTCCCAAACATTGGCTAGAGACTTGATATCAAGGCAACCAGTTTGCGACTTAATGTCCACGAATTTCGTAACATTATCTCTTGTCGACAGAATTAAATGGTAGGTACGGTATCCCATGGTTGAATTATAAATGCAGAGAGTGTCACTCCGAAATAATCGATCCGGTGATCGCCGACACCGTGGCTACGTGATTCCCGAAAACGGGGATCAGGATGTCCCCAAGTTGCAGGAGAACTTTTTTACCAAACACGGTTGACATATCCTTGACAATCTACGGACCGTCTTGCAGGAAATATCGACTTGTAGATATTTGCCTCCGAGTCTGACTTCTATCTTTAAAACAACGTGCAAATTGAACAAGTCAACGCGGAGAATAAAACAGCTTTTGCAAACATTGGACTAATAAAACATATACCATTCTTTACTTTTCCAAACTATTCCCATTATCCGCGTCCTCGATTAGGCGTGTCCATTCGTTAGGCCGACTCTCTTAGGAACGTTTCCTTCTCCCCATAAAATTACCATTCCCTTTGTTGGGAATAGGCATTATTCTCGATGAAATTTCAAAAATTCGCTTCGGGTGTAAACGTCGAATTTTTATTAGGAGGACAAATCGCTTTCCCGCGAATTGCTAAAGTCTCTCAAAGGCGTCAGTCATGAGTTCTTGTAAAGTCAGGTGCAGATCCGCCGTTTGAATATATTTTCAGGGTTTTTTACATTTCGTATAAATATAAGAAATTTCTAAAGCGCGAGACCGCGTCCCGTCTTTTCTTACCTACAAATAAACTTAAAACAAAAATTGAAATTTCATGGGGGTCAGGACTTTCCTTCCAGCCTACATATTCATATTGTGAATTTTTAAACGATTTGGTACCCTCAATTAGGTCAAAAGCTTCATAAACGAAACCCCTTTGACGGCACTTTCGCATCACCTTAATGGTGTAATGAATTTCATCGACATTGCCTCAAGTAAATTTAGTCTAGGCGAAACAAGGACAAATTAAAATTCTCCGACTTCGTATAATCGACTTATTTCCATGGGCATGCTTGCGTATAATTTTAATTATTCATGTAATAGATATCTTGTTTCAGTGGTTTAGTTGTTAATCGCTTGAAAAGTTCTTCTCGTGTTTGTCTACTGGGAGAGATCATTGACAAGCCAGGCACGTGTGAATCCTGTACGGGATATTGGGAATTGCATAACACCTGCCTGCATTCCTTGCCGACTTGTAACAATATCAACTGCACGGCTGCAAACTGGAAAGTCCAGTGTCCTGGAAAGAAAGAGCAAGAGTCCGATGGTTGGAAAGGGAAAGACGAGGAGTGATCCTTTTCTCTCGTCATCTCGAACGTGCGCCTCGTTCTCTCTCTCCTTCAAGAAAGGAATTCACGTTCCAGTGGAAGTGAAACCTGCGATTTTCTCTCATTATCGTCCTGCAGCGATGCAGCGCGGTCGGCTGCTTTGCTTATGGAACGATTATACGTTGTACCTCAGGAGACTGCATGGATAATTTCAGGACGGTCACATGTGCCCTGGAAAACTTTAAGAGAAAGGCATTTATGAGTTGGGAATTACATTAGAAAGAACATTGATTTTCCACTTAAGACTTACGCGTTTGGCTCTGTAACTTGCGCAACTTGTTTGTAATGTACTTGTGGAAAAACAATTTCCGAGGCACATGTTTTTAACCACATACTTTTAAGAACCGCAAGATTGCAAGCTTTAAAAGTGGTATTTTAATAACCTGCTTGTTCCTGGCAAATGGATTCTACTTTGCGTGATTTTCAAAATTTAATAAGCACTTGTCTTGCAGATATTTAATGTCTGTTTGAATGGATATAAGTGCATTGCAACATACCATTCGCAGCTAAATGTCATAAGAAATTCCGACATATGCTCTCTAGTGACATAATATGATTAAATTCTTTAAGTAAGATATCATTGCTATTACAGGAAAACTCGAAAACCTAGTATCGCTGGGTTGCTCTTAAAAATTCTAATGTTGTTAAGAGACTTTTTTATGTAAGTCAATTTCATTACTTATGGGTGATGCAGAAATCTCGTTACATAATAAATAATTAGAGCAATAAGTTTAAAAGGTACTTAACATTTTCTATTACAAAAAACAATTACTTTATTTATCTGTGTAATTAGCAGTGAAAATTTAAAATACAATCGTTTATGCAATGTAAATAAGTTACACCATTTTTATTATGAACTTAGAATTTTAGTTTACATGTCCTCTGTGTCACTGTCCGAATCTTCCTTCATTGCTTGACGGGCCTGTGTTTCAGCTTCTGTTCTTACTTCTTGCGGAACGCGTTGGTGTTTACCATTCGTATGGGCACCGACCCAACTCATTTCCAACTCAAACTGTTTATCTCTAAGTTCGTCATGAACTAGATAAATTATCCGTGCTGCCTCCTTTACTAAATCTTTACAAGTCATGTCGGAAAGTTTCAACTTCTCAATTTCCGTTTTCGCTGATTGTTTTGCTTTACCTAACAATAACCACGACATATGAATGATAAGGAATGCTAACTATTTATGATAGTAGTATAAATTTCAAAAATATTACCAATTGCACATCCATAATATCCATATGAAACTCCTGATGGATCTATCATGTACATTGCGGGCCCTTCTGCTTCATAAGCTCCTAAAATGACTGAACACCCATATGGTCTGACGGCAGAGTATAATGTATATGCATGCATATACATGGAAACGCGTTCATTTAAGTACTTCAAAGGAATGCCAATGCCGTACTGTGTCCGATAACTTGCTGCTTCAGATCGTGCAGTTTCTACAATTTGTCGAGCATCGGAAATTAGACCAGACACAGCCATACCAACGTGTTGATCGACATTAAAAATCCGCTTATTAGCTCCCGGTTGGTAAAGCTTCGAAGTTACGAGTTTTTCAACGGCAAAAACAATTCCATCCTTCCCACGTAGACCAATGACAGTTCTGAAAGAAATTAATAGTTTTAAATGAAAATATTAAGACTCTTGTTAAAACTAATATTTTGATACATACCCACTGTTTTCAACAGCCTTTTGAGCATATTCAACTTGAAAAACCCGTCCGTCCGGTGAAAACTGAGATGCGGAGAGATCGTACTGAACAGAAACATTGAGGTTAAGTACAATGTTTAAGTCAAAGAAAAGTTCTGTTACATTATCAAGGTAGAGCAAACATTATTACTTACGCCTGTCCCGATAGAGCTCATGTTTTACAATTTTTATACGAAAATTTCTACGCTGGATTAGGAGACAGATATTTATATAAGAATATACCGTGAATAGGCGAAAATCAAAATTCAATTGTCAGCGTTGGCGAGCGGAGCCATCATTTACAAAACCGACGAATTTAAATGTTCTTAGAACGGATATGAATTGTTAGATCAGTCTTGTGTCGTCACGACAAGGAATTCTCAGAGACCGCGTATACTTTTATGTTCTAGACATCATTTGCGTAGAAATTATCAAACCGTGCCATTTATCGGTTTTAATGTCATCATTTTCTGCTTCTAGGAATAAGCTTTAAGTGATTTCTGAGATTTCCTTCAGTTGCATTTATAATTACTAGAAAATGGGATTCAATAGCGTATGAAGATGTGCAGTCTTCTGATGAAGTCCGTAAGGTAGCAGCATATATGCGCATTAAGCAGTAACTAGTTTTCAAGCAGGGGATTTTCACTTGCAATGATTGGCAGTCCTCCGTGCGAAGTCAGTTGTTCACTTCAAAAGAGACGGAGCAAAGATGGATTCTTGAGAAATTTTTCTATGAAGCAGTCGCTCGAGTCTAGATTCTCACCGTTAAATTTCACCCATTCAGTCGGAACGGATTTTCTTTTATGAGCACACCAACTCTGTGAACGATGATCGTGCAGGAGCCAGTGCAGGTAAAAAAGCTCATTCGATTAGATTGACGATTGACATTTCCCCGTATGACGGGGCGCAACCAATCGCTGATATTGACACCTTCGTAATCAAATCGTTTGCTCGCGTGTCCACGGAGTGTCGAAACAACGGGATCTCTTTTTCTAAAGGATATGCCGTATTTAACGTCTAATTCGGATGAAGTAGCTTTGGAGCTTGACTCGAGAATTTTGGGTGGCGTTTATGCCTTTGATAGGACAGCTTCCATGGTTCCCCATTTACATGTCCATCTATAAATAAGCTCATAAAGATAACGTAATTCCATAATATTTCTCCTAATGGTACTATTTATGCCTTTTAATAAATTTCTGTTCGAGAAAGGTGGGCCGAAGTGGATTTAGAACTTCGAGACCACCATAGCGACGAGCATTTCGGGTATTTAAGACATTTTCCATGGAGTAAATCACTCCGTGACATTGGGTGCACTGTGCTCGATTGACAGCAATGTCAGAGACAGAATTATGCATTCTGGTACTAATCTGCCAAGTACTTAAGTTTTTGTAGTAAACTCTTGAAAGGATATGATATGTCTGTCGTCACTGTCCGATTAATGTAATCATTTAGCCGACATTGGACATTTTTTATCAACTAGGAGTATCCGAGGAAAGAAAAATATGCACATGTCATTTAATTTTTCTAGTAGTGAACACTAGTTTTATGTATTTGATTCTAGGCAGCCATATGGCATTGTTTAAATCACTACGCCTATCCAGATGCGATATTTCTTGCAGAGAGACTTTGGGCTGAAGGTGAGTTTGAACAAAATTAGGTTTATATACACTTTGAAATTATAATATTTGATATCTAATGACGATTATGTTAATTGTGTTTTATTGAATAATTTGTAGTGCATACAGAAGAAACCTTGTTTCTTCTTGCTACCTGTTATTACCGATCAGGGCGGGTAAGACAAGCTCATGCTCTACTTTCAAAGAAGTCACCCAGTTCGTCACAGTGCAGGTTCCTTCTAGCGAAATGTTCTTATGATCTTGAAAAGTAAGCTTAACAAAATTTAACATTTAAATAATTTAATAATTCTTACGAATTGATACTTATTATGATAATAAATTTAGATATGCAGAGGCAGAGGCTGCTGTAACAGGGGGTTATTATAAACAATTAAAAAGTTTAGATGAGATCGTAACACAGTTTGGTGACCAGGCCTGTTTTTCCCTTCAAATAATAGCTAAAATTTACTACAAAATGATGAGAACAGCGAAAGGCAATGAAGCACATAAACTCGCCTTAAAATTAAATCCATTTTTATGGCATTCGTTTGAAGAATTGTGCAATGTGGGCGAGAAGGTAGATCCGAACAAAATATTTCAGTTGGAAAAGTTAGATAGTTTTGCTATGTGCCACGGAACTACGCCGATTCTAAATTATGTTGCCGAACCAGATCTGATTGTCCCCAGTAATGCTAATCTTCCAACACCCAATAATATGTAAGTAGGTTAAACGTTTCTTATCGTATTCTTAACGTATCACGTTTTCATGTATGTAAATATTTTTAGTACACCTGGTCAGACATCTATGGTAAATGGCGTACAATCTAGTGTTCGGTTGCATTCAACAATTGAAGAGAGTCCAGTAACTCAATCAAGTCATCATAATTGCTCGATGATATCGCCTAGGGGAAAGCCCCCTCGGTATCGGAGTATGTTTAGCAATTCAATGAGTCCTTTAACTCCAAGCTTTGGAATTTTACCTCTCGATTGCAACACACCAGAATCTAATGTATTACCATCTAACACAACACTTACCGAGACAAATGATCAAAAAAGTTTAGCTAAACGAGTAAGCAGTTTAAGAGCACATGTTGGGGTAAGACAAATATTTATGAGTTTTCCACCATTAGTATACATAAGTATCTGCAAACCAGTAACAAACCTTATTTATTTAGCAATTGATGTCAAGAAAAGAGACTCCTCTACAACAAGGAAAACCAGTTTTCTCCCAATCAGGAAATACTAGTAATACAGCTAACATTGTTACCGTTACACCTACTACTCCAACGCCTGCAGCTCCAACGCTTCAAGGACCCAACGTCAGGAGATCGTCCAGATTATTTAGCAACAGCTACTCTGTTAAAGTATGTGTTTTAATATGGCAAACGAATTAATTTCATTTGCAGTATCACTTATACATTATATTCATCTTCTATTTAGGAAAACAATAAGTCGCCAAATAGAAACAAATTTGCAACACCTAAATCACCATCGCGGAAAACTAAAGCAAGATTGTCGAAAAGCAACATGAACAAGGCGAACTTTAATGAACTCAACGAGCGCAATAGGACAGAGAAAGAAAAGAGCGAGACAATCACTTCGGAGAAAGTGATCGCTAACACAAATGCTCTAAATCAAAGTAACGCATCACATTGTGCCTTGTTGCTTCAAAAACAATGTGCCGGTAAGTGGAAGTTTGATAATTTTTACTTTTCCTCTGTGATTTGATGGTACATTGTGAAAAATATATTTTTTGATTTTTGTAGAGGGCCTAATGTCACTTTTGAGAGAATTAGGCATGGCGTATCAGCATCTAAGTCAGTTTAATTGTATGCAGGCTGTTGAGATATTAAATGTACTGCCGTCACAGCATTACAATACAGGATGGGTACTATCGATGTTGGCTCGGGCCCATTTTGAGATGATAGATTATAAGAAATCTGCCAGGTATATACGTATATAAAAATTTTAAGTTCTGGAAAACATAAAGATTTTATTAAATCGGTTAATACATCTGTTGTGTGATCTTCGATATCTGGAATATCTTGTTTTCCAGTTATTTTGCCGAAGTTAGGCAATTGGAGCCTCAGAGGACTGAACTGATGGAAATCTACAGTACGGTACTCTGGCATTTACATGCTGAAGTTCAGCTCTCCACCTTGGCGCAAGAGCTGGTCTCCGAAGATCGTAATTCTCCAGCTGCGTGGTGTGCTACGGGTAATTTATTCTCTGCGCAGACCGAGCACGAAATCGCTATTAAGTTCTTTCAAAGAGCCATTCAGGTTTGTTTCCGTTTATCTACACGGCATAAGTGTTATAATCTAATTAGAATATTTAAGAACACAATTGCATTATTGTATCAAATGTATGTTATCGCAGGTGGATCCAAACTTCCCCTACGCGTATACTCTACTTGGCCATGAGTACGTCATGACTGAAGAATTAGACAAAGCTATTACGGCTTTTCGAAATGCTATAAGACTTGATCCTAGGCATTATAACGCATGGTAAATCTAGTAATTCTTTTTTGTTTAGAATGAACAATTTATTTCGCCTTTTCTATACCTTGTAATTTTCCCAGGTTCGGACTCGGTACAATATTCTCTAAACAAGAGCAGTATAGTTTAGCAGAGTTACACTTCAAGAGAGCTTTGCAAATTAATCCGCAGAACTCTGCCATCATGTGTCATATTGGAGTGGTGCAGCATGCCTTGAAAAAGACTGATCAGGCTCTGAGGACCCTGAACGCGGCGATCAACAATGATCCAGATAACACGCTTTGCAAGTTCCATCGAGCGAGCATTAATTTCTCAACTGGTCGATATGCCGAGGCACTCAAGGAATTCGAAGAATTGAAAAACATTGTTCCCAAAGAGTCTCTAGTCTACTACTCGATAGGAAAGGTAATTTAAGTAAACCTGAAAATAATCTTCCGAATTCCTTTTCAATCTCCGTGTTTTATTTCAGGTTCATAAGAAATTAGGTAATACGCATCTCGCATTGATGTACTTTAGCTGGGCAACGGATCTGGATCCTAAGGGGGTCAATAGTCAAGTCAAAGAGGCCATCTTGAGTCCTGGTCAAGGCGATGACGAGTCTCCTGCCGCGCAGACAGGTATAATCGAGCATTCTTTTTTTTTTTTTAATATTAATTCCCTGACTACCTGAATGAAACACCTAATAAGAGGATCCTTTCCCTTTCTTTCCCAGATGAACCGATACAAAACAGTTCGACCGAGCACGAAGGAGATGGTAGCGCCGAAGTTAGTGGAGAGGGTAGCGGACTGCCCGGTAACGTTTCTGTGGAATCTCACGCTGACGACAGTGACGACAGTTTATGAAGATCCGAAAATTGAGCGCGCAATCGCCGCTGAGCAAAGGAAAATACTTACACACCTCATTACGAGTATTCGCCGTAAGAGTCAAGAAACACGCGCAGCACCTATTAACGAGACGGTAACGTGTCCGCGTAGAACTTGAAAAAGATCTTATTAAAGGATATCGGTCTGAAGCGGTGGATTCCGTTTATTTGGAAAAGGAATCCTCGGGAGGATCATCGAGAAATAGAGAAAATCGAAGGATTTCTCTCGGCTTCGAATCGTGCAGTATATCCCGGGGTCCATTTACGTTTCGTCCGACATTGGTCTGTCTCTACGACGGACATTCATTCTGCACCGTCATATCTCCCTCGAATCGTTGCCACCGCGCGTTTGTGTATATTTTTTTACAATTCTATTTCCTTTTCGATCCCTTCATTCGTTCGATTATTTTCCTCTAACCGCCTAGTGAGTGTAATCCGAGCGGATGTAATTCTAATAAGGCGAGGCGTAAGCACCTAGGTAATAAGTACACGATAAAGATTAAGGTAAACGCGAGACAATGAGATGTGGGGCGAAAGCTCGAGAGAAAGAGTGTGTATATCGTGTGTACGTGTAAATTATTATGTTTAGCGATCGCGGAGTGGTTTATTAGTGGTCACAAGATTGGCCACGAGGACGGCCGTGCAATTTTCTCTGTCGAGGACGAATACTCGTCGGTTCTCCGATCTCGCAACGCACCGGCTCGATCGCGTCCTGATACGTCCAGGTACTTACACGCCTACTCGTGCATGCGTGTAAAAAAAAAACATTGTACATTCAAGTTGTACGGACGGCTCGTTACTTTTAACGAATTGGAGCTCCACGCCCGGTGCAGATACGAGATCGAATGAAACTCTGGTGGTCGAGGGAGGGAATTCTGTGAGGTAGTTTCGAAATCTCGCCAGAGTCCGTGGGGTACTCGAAGTGCACTCGGATGTCCGAAGTGGAGGGATCTAGATGCTAAGTAGCGTAACAACGATACACTTCATTGTTATTATCCGCCATGCAGATTCGGATTACGCGTACCGCGAGCTCATGCATGCGAGTTCAATATTTTACATGTAATCCACGGTTAGGAGGAGTGGAAAGTTAAACGGACCTCTTCGAGTTATTCCAACGCGAGCCTCGCAAATTCGTATCGCGTGCGTTCTTTCCTTAAGGCTGTGCTATTTAAGATTCGAATACGTATTCGACGCATACTCCAGGGACGCTCGTTCGGTGTTCACTTTCGTTACGGCAGTATTTTAATTCTTTAGTTGGGCGCAGCCGGTAGGCAAGTATTCGAATATTCGATTTAAATATTCTATATATACATAGTATAGAAGTATCGGCTTTCTCCGAATGCATACGCTGAATATATTCCAGTACTTGTGTACCTAGTGTATGTACGGACGGTGCGTTCGAATACCGACGTGGCGAATAAGTATACCGATTATGTATTTAAATCTAGATGGCCACAGCTCGATTAGTTATCGTTTGGGGCCTCGGAAAATGTCCAGATTAAATGACCCCTTTGTAAATCTACTACTAACCTCACGACATTTCTTGCGGTCTCTGTCATACATACGTTACGTTCCCTCGTCACTTCCACGATCGATCAGCTGATATCTCATTTTTGCTTTCCTCCGAAACCTTAATAAGAAAGGCATAAGCATGAAATCGTAGGTTCGTAATAATTGCATGTATAGGCGAGAAAGTGATCGCTAATTCGGCCAGCTGGTTAATATTCGATCGTTTGGTTTAAAAGATGTCCTGTAACGAAATGATACTTTACGCTAATGTCCTTTGAGACGATCTCACTTTGTACGTGTATCAAGTCGGAGTCGGTGGGAAGCAAAGGCAAGGATGCGTCCCGTACCACTTATTTTCAAGTAGATAACGATTTCTCGTAGTCGCACGTCACCCGGTGTTACATATTCAGCTCGAGAAACTATAAGCTGTTCAATTCTTTAACTTCGACTGCACAGCTTCTTTTCTTTCGAGAGTAATATCCGATTGGATCAATTCGACATGTATAGTTTTAGCTGTTCCATATGGATGCTACCGAACGTAATCGGAGCTACGGTGTACTCGTGTAAAGAGGTACCATACCTGTATATGTAAAATAAATGATGTGATATCGGAAGAAACTGGTACAGGACATGTAACGATGTATGGTCTAAGTAACGACGCCGCGTTTCCCTCCTCCTTAGAAAGGAACTTTTCATTCTTATTGTTTCTTTTCTCAATAAGTACATATCGTTGGATATGCTGTAGCTTGCATTCACATACGATCTCACGTATGTTTCCTAGTCAGTAGGCAATTAAATCTTGAGTCTTTGATAGAAAGGTTTAGAGTAAGAATTCGAATTTCCCGGTGCATTTTGCGAGTGTCCTTCAAACGATTATTTATATGTAATTGGTATCTACTTTCTTGCGACAGCTGATAAGCTCCGTAAATATTGATAACGATTGAATCAGTGAGGAGAACTCATTCTCAGTGCACGATCGACCCTGCGAGGGGTAAACAAGATGGAAAATGACACTGTACAGACTGGTGAGTTTATTCGGGGTATAGTGGGCGTTAAAGCGACATTCAATTACCATTTTTACTTTACAATTGTAGTCCGCGGGCCGGTCAAGCTCACCGAGCTTGGCAGGACTTTAACCCACGAGCACTTGGCTCTCGACTTTCATCACTTTTACGTATCTCCGCCTAAGCATCTCGAAAAGTTCTTCGACCACGTAATTCGTGTGGACAACGTGGGTGTGCTCAGGCAATATCCGTAAGTCTGAGTCTTACCTGTAAACCGATCCCGCAAAGAGGAAATAAAGCTTAAGAAACATTCAGCGTGTAATTCCAACTCCGGAATTTAATTGTTCCGGACAAGACAACCGCGGTAACCAGATATATGGAAATTTTGCAGTCCCTGGCGTATCTTATCTCTCAAGTAACGCATACATTTCTTGCATGACGATTCAGTTATAGCAGTAGGGAGAATTTAACATTCAACGACGAGAGCTCCTACGAAGCCGTCCTCGAGGATGTCAAACTCTTCAAGAAATTCGGCGGTGGCACCATAGTTGAAAATACCACTCATGGCTTACAACGTGATGTATCCATGATGAAAAAAGTCAGCGAGGGGAGTGGGGTTCACGTGATTGCAGGCACTGGTAAATTGAGGCTGATATTGAAATCCTGATATGTCGACAATCCTCGGTAATTGCATTTGTTTTTATTTTTTATTTTTTTTCAGGCTACTACGTCGCCCTCACGCAGACCAGAAATGTTCTTTCCCTCGGCCAGGAAAAGATGTTTGATTTTATGAGGAAAGAAATGACGGAGGGATGCATCGAGTCTCCGGATGTCAAAGCAGGATTCGTGGGCGAAGTCGGCAGCTCATGGCCGATCGACGGTCAGTAGAAATAGCTGGAACTGATCAGACAAGGGGAACGAGGGCGTCTTAACGTGCCCGATATACCTGGTTTTTCACGACTATCCGTTTGGATCTGCCATAGTATAAATGGTGAACACGTAAAAATAGTGGCGAGTAATGTGGAAAGTAATAGACGGGTTTTTTCTGTCACGTCTAGAGTTCGAGAAAAAAGCCATCCGAGCTGCAGGAGAGCTGCAAGCTCAGCTGAATTGCCCAGTCAGCTTCCACCCAGGAAGGAATTCGGCAGCTCCTTTCGAGATTTTGAGGATTTACATGGAAGCTGGCGGAGCAGCTAACAAAGCCATAATGTCGCACCTGGATAGTAGGACTTTTGTCAAAATTTCGATTTTAGAATCGAGTATTTTTTTTTCCTTTTTCTTTTTGTATTTCCTGCAGGAATAAATTCACTATTTCATTTTCAGGGACGTTATTGAGGGAAGGGGATCTTCTGGAATTTGCGAAAATCGGGTCTTACTGTCAATTCGATCTGTTCGGCACGGAATGCTCCTTTTATCAATTGCACAAACACACCGATATGCCATCCGACGCTCAGCGTCTCGATAAAATCAAGCTTCTAAGAGACGAAGGCAGAATCGATAAAGTGATGATGAGCCACGACATTCATACGAAACATCGACTGGTAATAACGAGACACCTTTATTTATAATACTCCTCCATCTGCAGCCCCACCGAAAGTGGAGTAATCGTTACATGCCGCAGTTACAATTCGGGGGCCACGGATACTCTCACATTATCAACAACGTTCTGCCTAGAATGCGGCTGAAAGGATTCACCGAAGAGGAAATAGATCAGGTCACCGTGCACAACCCAAGAGCATGGCTATCACGTTAGCCCTTACATCCCTCCTACATATCAGTCTTTCCCAAGCACAATTTAAATTTCCTCCATTCGTCCTCATAATCGCCCGTCGAAAAGAAGTCTAAAAATCCGCGTTATTCCAATAATTACCCCATACCCCTACTTAGGATATTAAAAAAAAAAAATAAAATTGCTAAACCCTTTCATGGCCTTTGAAATTGGCGCGCTCGGAATCACCCTCGGTGACCGGGTCAGCGGGTGACAGTGATCGCGTGCGCGGACCGATGCGCCCTGACCCCATAATCGCTCCCCCTAAACGTAATAATAATTCCTACAGTAATACACCACAAAGATAGATGCTGGATCTTCTATGAGACCATCTACGGTGCTCGTATTAGGAGAGAAATTCAGCTCTAAATCGATCTCGATTGTTAGGAGCCGTGCCAGGCGGCTTCGAGCACGTGGGTCAGCCTATGTCGTTTGAATTTGGCGCGCGGCGAGACACCCCCATGGCTGCGCGCGCCGCCGGGCGGGCCGGGGGTGCGTGCGCGGGGTGGGTGCGCGTAGCGTAGCGGTCGGCGCGCTCCCAGTCCCGCTATTCGTGCGCCTCGCCGCGCCTCGCGAAGGTCCCTCGGTAAGTTCGCGCGCGCAGCTCTAACCGCGCGGTGGTGCGTATCCGCGGCGTGTCGCCAGGCGCGAGCTCGGGGTGCCAGCTCGACGGAGGAAAGGCGCCCTCAGCCGCGGGCAGGTCCGCGGCCGGCCAGGATGGAGCGCGAGGCCCGGGGTCAGGCCGGGAGGGCCCAGCCGCGCGGCGTCAGTGGCGGCGGAGGCGGCGTCGCGTGAGGGCGCGTCCCCGGAGGCCGCGGCCCCGGCGCGCGGAGGGCGGCGCGCGGGACGAGCGCCAGGGACCGCCAGGGACCTCCCCGGGACTCCGCCAGGAAACGTCCTCGAGGGCTGCGGTGAGTCTCCATCGATCCTCGGGTCGGCCTCGCGACCTCCTCGCGGGACCTCCTTCGAGGGATCGATCCCTATCGGAGGATCGCCTGTCCCGTGAAGCGGTTCCCAGAGGAGGCTCGCGAGCCTCGCCGAGAGGACGACCCGGACGATACCGAATCGTCGGGAACGGAGGAATCCTTCCACAGGGAGAGAGTTTGTCTCGCGAGAAAGACCTAGAGAGGGAGGAAAGGACGAAGGAGCGTTAATGAGCCGTCGAAGTTCCTTCTGGAGGAAGAACGACGGAATGGCCAGTCCGGGTCTCCTCGAGGTGCCTTCCGGAGAGCCGCTCTTCGGGCAGGCGACACGCGATAAGGATCGCTCCGTGCAGAAGAGCGACCCTTCGCTCGCGACTTCCCGCGGAAGGCGCGGGGAGCGATAAGTCGTCTGCGAAAGTGGATGCTCTCTCGAGCAGCTTTCTCGGGCCGGCACTCCACGAGAGGGACGCGCAACTCTTTGAACGGACTCTTCCTCCCGGTTTCCTTTTTTATAAGGCCACGAAAGGACCTCCTCGAGGTGTTCACTTTGCCCTGGGAGCCGGTGATTGGAAACTCTCGTTCTACCCGGGCGCTCGGGTCCTCCGGACGTACTTTCAACGAATCGGAGGATAAGGAGACTTCCAGTCGCGGTATCGCAATAGTGTATCCTGTCGCAGGATCGAAGACGGGTGGAGTAATTATTTTCAGTACTTATTCATGCGTAATTGTTAGCGGAATTGAGGACGTATAGGGGACGTGGGATTTTGGACGATTGGAATTTTCTTTTCTCTTTCTCGATACCTATATGTGGTGAAATAAGTGGAGGTATGTCGCGAGCTTTCCGAAAACGCCGAGGGAATATCCCGGGACTCGGGAAACGCGATCTTTTATAAGGACTTCCCAGGGACGCTCCCTCGCGACAGGACGACGTTTCTCGGGGATTGATAGTTAAGCTCCGGATTTCCCGCAACGAATTCACCTCCTCGATGGGACTGCGAGCGGACTCGGAAGGGTTTCTCATAGAGGGGCGAACCCTTTTGCCCCGCGATCGATTAGGCGATCCTTATCAAAGTCAGGGTGGCCCTTCGTGCACGGGGTGCCAGCGAGACCGTGAAAAAGGTCGGGGATCGCGGCGCTCTGCTTTCGAAAATAGACGAGACCGATAAACCTTTCCGCGTCCCTTAATCTCTTAATTAGACCGGGGAAATATTTCCCATACAACGTGGAATAAATCAGGAAAAACATTCTATTAAGACGTGCCCAATAATCAAGAACCAACGTAAATCGACCCTTGCACGGAAATTCGCCCTATATATCCAAACAAATGATATGAACCCTTCATTAAAAAAAAAAAAAAATCAAATCCTCTTTTTTCTTCTATACGAGCATTATTAATCCTATTTACCTAGCTTCGCAAAATTCCAAATCGTCCTCGCTAAGTACAGATTTATTATACGATGTATTCCGTCAAATTGATCCGATTACTGATCATTAAGGGTCCAAAGTGGTCGCGGAAAAAAATCTGAACTACGTACAGGTTACGTATTTACATGTCGGGGGGGTAAGTGCACTTCACAGGGTGCACTTTCCGAGGGCATGCGTCCGGTGAACTCTTTAATTCCGTAGGGTTGACGCGAATGATCGCATTTCTCTCGTGGCATTCTTCTTTCATTTTCTTCTCTTCTTCTTTTTCCAGGGAATAGTTTCCGCGTTTTCTTCGGCTACCCTTCGTAGGGACAGCAATTGGGTATCAGGGGGAGGGATAATAGCAATTGCGCTAGTCTTTTTGCAAGGCGGACTTACCGGGGTGTGAACTTACCGCGAGTGGAAGTAATGCTCGCGTTGCCGAGGGATACGCAGGAAGAGAGAGAGAGGGAACTACGCACCTATTTTTTCCTCACCCTTATTCTCCCTCTTTCTCTCTCTTTCGTTCTCTCTCGATTTTACGTGCGTGCGTTCCGCGTTCGGGCTTACGTGCGTGCGGACCTCCTCTCTTTCGCTCCCGAATTAAGCGTCGAGCTCGCTAACCGGGTCAGCGATTTCCGACCCTCTGAACGACTCCGCGTGGACCTGGGCGACCCACTGCCGGAGAGTTACGATTTCGAAACTGCGAGAGGAAATGCCAACTCGGGGAACTGCACTGTCCACGGTGGACCGAGGGCCGATTACCGCGGTTCCTCCTGGGAGCTTTTCCTCCGCCAAACTTCCCGTCGAGACTTTTCCTCTTTTCGGCTTCTCTAAATTGAAAATTGAAAATTTTCCCTGAAATTGCCTATTTTTATATTTTTCATTACGAACGATACGTCGCATGGTATTAGTCTCATGACAACGACACTTGGTAGGATTTAAGAGATGACTCGTTTAGCCGACGTTATCGTATTCAGGGGGAAGAGGTATAAATGAAAAATTTCCCGTAAAATCCCCTATCTTATAATATTTCATTGCGAACGATACATCGCACGGTATTAGTCTCGTAATAACGACACGTCGGTAGGAGGATTGAAGGGCGATTCTTTATTTTTCGTAATGAACAATCCATTGCGCGGTATTAGTCTCGTGATAACAACACGTCGTTGGAAGTATTTAAGAAATGACTCGTTTAGCCGACGTTATCAGCCGTTTGGAAAAGGTCTAAATTGAAAATTTAAAAAATTTTTAAAAATTTTATAATATCTCATTGCGAATTATACATCGCACGGTATTAGTCTCGTGATAAAGACACGTCGGTAGGAGGATTGAAGGGCGATTCGCAATCACTGTCGGTGCATCTTATCCGGAGGACTCGGGGGATGAGAAGTTCGCCTCTGCTGGTTTCCCTCGACTCGTCGAGCTTATCGCCGGCTATCTCCATATTGTCGGGACTCGGAAGCGACGAAAGACAATCCGTTCTCCGGTCTCGACGAGACCTCGCCGCTTTTTCCCCGACGAGCAGCCGAGCGAACGGGGTCACTAATTTCTGGCAGCTTCCCGGACCTCCGACTTTCCGCCGGCCGTCGAAGAGGGCCTCCTCGAGAGGGAAAGTCCTCGGAGAGGAGGGAAACGATATTTTGGCAGAAAGGATCTAGAATACGAGACGTCGACCATCCGATCTCGAGATGACGGAGGCGACTCACGCCTCGCCTAGGAATTTCGGAGCTTTCGTGATAAGCGCCCGGCCGAACGGGGTCACCGATTCCGGGATATAGGAAACGAGAACCTTCGTCGCTCCCGTCTTCGGAATTTTCCCCGATAAGGCCGATTTCCAGCCCGCGACCCTCGAAATGGGAAAACGGAGGAGGAAGGAATGAGAGAAGCAGAAAAGAGCCGGGGATAAATGATTAAGACGTAGAAAAGCACGAACCCACGTGGAGGGTCTAATTATAACGTAACTTCCAATATTCGCATATTCGCAGCTAAGGATTTGCAGTTTCGATTTCCACCCCCTGACTCCTCGAGCAGGAAAACGGAGCGGATAAAGGAGCGGAAACGGGCTGGGGATAAATGATTAAGACGTAGAAAAGCACGAACCCACGGGGAGGGTCTAATTATATCGTAACTTCCAATATTCGCGTATTCGCACCTAAGGATTTGCAGTTTCGATTTCCACCCCCTGACTCCTCGAGCAGGACGTCGGAGCGGAAACGAGCCGGGGATAAATGATTAAGACGTCGCGCGGGGGCGTCTAATAATATTCTAATTCGGAGGGGATTTCACTTCGCGCGGGGGAATCGAGGAGCGATGGATGGAAAATCGGGTTTCTGGAATAAATTGAAGAGGGAATAAATATGGAGGTGCGGAGAGGCTCGAGGTATCCGCTGGTCGGAATCGAGTCTCGCCTTGGGAATAAACCACCCCGGAAATGTGTCAAGAGATAAGTGCCCTTGACACGTAAACGGCACGCCAGAAAATGACTCGCCCGATGTGCAGGAATTGTCTCGAACGAGGGGAGGAACCTCGGCCGCTGATAATTCGTACTTATCAACGAGCCGTGATTTATAGGTGCTCTTGGCACCCTCGCGCCCCGTTGGTCGGCGACGAGAAAGTTAACCCCTTAACTTACAATATCGTGTGAGAGACGTGGTATATCAATCGGGCCAAAGGTGAGAAAAACGTATGAGAGACGTGTTTTTTTGTTTATTGTTCCGACATTTTTTTTTGTTTATGGCACGCGCTATTAATCGAATTTAATATATTTGAAATTAAATCGTAAGGCAAGGGGTCAAGGAGGAATTATTTCCGCGGGTGGAGGGGGAC